TATGACATGCAACAACAACAACAACAACAACAACATCAACAACAACAATCACCACCACCACCACCACCACCACCACCACCACCACCACCACCACCACCACCACCACCACCACAAACACCACCACCACCACCACCACCACCACCACCACCACCACCACCACCACCAGCACCACCACGGGTTTAAGGCTTAGGGATTAAGATTAAATTGGGATAATGGAAAATTAAATGGAAACTACTAAATCATATAGGGTTCTGTATACGGGCCTGTTAAGCTCTACAGGCAACGGAGACAGAAACCAAAAGTCCTTCAAAAGCTTGACATTCCAAGCATCTCCATAGATGGATATATAGAGGGCACGGCGGCGTAGAGTGTCAGGGACAGGAAGGTGGTCACTGCCATGTGTACTGCAGTCAGGTGCCTGCTACGCAAGAGTGAGTATGAGGGATAATAGTGATTATATAAGGGTCCTCATATATTCCTCTTATACCACTATTACAGGGCGGGGGGTCCGCCTGACTTATGCTTGACAACTATGGCAGGAGTGTGGTGCAGCTGCGGGGCTGTAACGCAGCGCGTTAAGCTCCGGTATAGTTTCACAGTATGCTCGCGAACGATCTTCATGCAGCGAGCGGCAAGTAGCAAAAACAAATCAACTCCAAATACCTCTTAGGCTAGAGATAAAAGCCTCTGACTGCCAAAGATTCAGAGCAGGCTTCCACAAATACGGGTCTCCTGATGTTCTATACTCCGAAAAATTGCCCAAATCCTATAAACCGCCTGATAAACCCAGTTGCCATTTCATTTCCGTGTTCTTTTCCATTTAAGTCATATTTATTGGGGTACTACCCCCCTCCCTTAACCCCAACTCCTAAGCTATGCCAACACAATCCTGAAACCCTACATCTCCCTATATGCCCCGTAGATGCCGTATCACTCCTTCAAAGTGACCCCCATCTAAACGCTAAACCATAAAGCCGTATACCAACACAGAGCCCGAGTACAGGGCATGTGGAAAACGCCCTTCGTGCATCAAGTACTTGTTGAAGGTGATCAGTCCTGCTGACACCTGAGTTAGTCGCTTGGTTTTTTCATGAGTTGGGTTTTGGGATTGAGGTTTGTTGGGTTCAGGGTTTAGGGTCTTTTGGGAGTCCTCATAATGGGATAAGTACAAAGGGGCCCCTATGTCCGCTGCCAAGGGTCCCTTAATACGGATAATACTGATAGTAGCTCATAACAAACATTCTCAAAGACAACGGAAGCTACCACATCATTTAGGGCTTGGGGTTTTATGTTTCAGGGCTTAGGGTTGTAGGGTTTGAGCCCTCACACTGCATTGCCTGGCTAGCAGCAATGACATCTTGTAAAAGTGAGCTATTCTGCTGAGTCACATATGACTTCGATTTACCCAAGATGGTGCTTCTTTTGGTAAGGCTTGTTGCGGTTATGTAGGCACGTACCGCGATCTTTTCGGATTGTTGAAGAGTGTAGGTGCCGGGTTAGGAGAGATTGCGGGCGCAGCGGGTGAACTACTTCCTTGCATGGCCTCCCCTACTACTTCCCCCCTATGCTACCCCTACCTAGGTTCCCGCTTAAGTAGCCTTAATCAGCCCCAATCATCCCTCAAGAAACTTAAGTAGGGAGAAAGGAACCCATGAGCCTTCGACCAGAACTCGGCTGCCCTCTCGTTCCCTATTGCACGCCCCTTGACGCTCTCCATTTAAAAGAAGCCAGCAGCTAGCACCAAGAATGATCAACTTGTAAGACTAGTGTAGACCCATGATTAATAAACCCCCTCCCTTAAAGGGCCTAAATATTAGGATCCTTATGATAACCCCTGTTAAGGGGAGGGGGCTTATTGATCTACATTTAAAAAAAATGTCTGGACAAAAAAGCCGCGAGACAGATATGTATGCACCGCCAATGATCGCCACTTCAGACGCTTTGCGTGCTAATCCGACCATGTCAGTGCTAGCCATGTTGCTGAGAGACCTTACAGCGGCTTCATCACATAGGTGTTTTGAAGGGGTTACAGGGTTATATACAAGTGCGGTATAAAGGAACATGTAGGGATATAGAATGATACATATGTCTATGTGGAAAGTCCAAGTTGTGCCCAGATCATGGAGAATGATATGGAAAACAGAATTGGAAACAAAATTCAAACTGAAATTATCTAGTGATTTATAGGTTGCCGAGTGCAATTTGCCAAAAGCAAGCGTTCCACATCAAAGTTTCAAGTTTGATTGCTGCTTGACAAAACACAGATGAGCCATAGTCTAAACTCCTAGCATCCCCTCACTAACCCCTACAATAGTCTCCTACATAATCCCCTATATAGCTCCCCTTTAAGGAATGTAAGCCCTAAGCCCTCAACCCTAAACCCCTTTATGACCCCCCTTTCAGGAATTTGGACTCTGGCTCGGATGATCTCTCTGTGCGGGCTGAGGAGCGGCTCAGGGAATAAAAGTCTTCATTGTTTTCATCATTACGATCATTACTGTGATTAATACTCTAACTACCATTAGTGTGATTTCTACTATGACACATGATATCATTATTGTGCGTAATACTATAACTATCAGTATTGTGACTGATACTATACCTATCACTATTCTGCTTAATACTATAACTATCATTATTCTGAGCAGCACTACTGTTACTGCCATTATCAGGGCTAGTCTTATATATTGATATTTCCTTCATGACGATTATTGGTATTATTCGGGGAGTCCAATATTCACTTTTTAGTCAAGCCCTGTGGAAACCTATGCTTTCAAGCACATGAGCTATGGTCTAAACTCCAAAGTATCAGCTTAATAACCCCCGTAGTAGTCCCCTATACATTCCCTTGTATAACCTCTTTAAGGAGTTTAGACTTCAGCATGCGTGGATTAGGTTTTGGAGCTTCCTGTTCTTGCTGTGACGCCCTCGCTCGCACGCGGCAACGACTTGCGTGGAGCATACCTGGGCCTTTCCCCAGTACCCCTCTAAACCCTAAACCCATTTGAAAGGCCAGTTTTGTGGGAGAGGGCGCCCCGCTATGGTTTGAGGTACATTTCCTACGAATGGCGTATTATCAGTAATGAAATACTGTAGAGTCCTTGATAACTAGGAAGAGGTTCTTTTGGGTTCGGCAGGTTCAGTACAAGTGTCGATGGGCGTGTATAGTGGGCGCAAGGCCTGCATCCCAAGAAGATTGCGGGATGGTGCTATGATCAACCAAGGAATCAATATGAAGGACTATCATCAGAGACAGGTGCAATCCCCTCCCCTACTAAATAAACCCGGAACCCCCTAATAAATATCCCCACTATGATTTGATATTATGGGGTGGAAATTCAATATGAGGGGCGGGGTGATCTTTTCGGGGAGGGGATTACATGTCTAGGGTCCAACTGTGGGTCTCAAGTAGAGAGCCAGAGTCCCCGAAACCAAAAACCCTAAACCGTAATCCTTAAAGCCCCCCTGAAGTAGATAGAATATGGATTCGGGTATGTTGCAATAAGATCCCCATATACCCCGTATTCTATCAACTTAAGGGGGAACATAATCCTTGAACCCTCAACCCTTACCCCTAAAACCCCAAACCCGTAACCCGGAGATGTGGAGGTTTCTCAGAAAGTGCGGGCACTTAGGGACCCTAGGCTTAGCATTAGGGTTGTCAGGGTTCAGGGTTTAGGGTTTAGGGTTTAGGGCATATAGGGACCACAGGAAGAGTTTCGGCATCCCTCCTCATGAGTATATAGGGATCTTCATGACCTCCCAGGTGGGTATGTCTCGAAGTCAGATTAGTGTCCCAGCGCAAAGTTCAGAGAACCCAACAAAAAACGCGAGTCAAGATTTGAGGTTGAGAGCTTGTAGATTTAAGGAACCCAAGCTGTTCACACTCTTTCCGAAAGAGCAGTGCTTGAGTTCGGACATTGCTCGGCCATCTTGGCATCTGCAAGATCTCTACCCTTTTACACTGGCAATGTCCCAGTACGTAGATGCATGCATTGTATGTTGATATATTACATGGAATGCAGACCATGAGAAGGAAAAATTGAATCTCAAGGAGTAGGACAGTATTCAATATTTATGGGGAAGGGAGTACAAATGCCAGCCACTCCTCAGTGCCCGGCTACAGTAATATAGGAGCCTACAGACTGAGAATTGAGGAGCCGATTGTGTGTTTCTTGAACCAAAAATAACACTTCTCTGGAAAATTACGATACTAAAAAGGAGGATATAATCAGTACTCAACTGGGTTGGTGTTAAGGAACTTAGATTAAGTTACTGTAATAAGGAAACCATATCATTTACTATATACCCACGTTATATTACGTGAATTTATGTTCCTTACCAATAACCCAGTCAATTGGGTGTTGGGGTGGCATAGATGTGCAGAGAAGCGTCAGACAAGTGCGAGGAATCTAAATCAGGCTCCTACGCTATCCAGAACTGGACTGCTGCTAAGGAACCTGAATTAAGTTATCGTATCACGGGCGCATAATAAATCAGGGAGTTTTCCTTTGTACCCTTTGGGTTTGGGTCCCTAAACCATTGGATATGGGCCTTAATGAGGGTATTTGGGGCCCAAAACCTTGGGTTACAAACATTAAGGGTACAAACTTAAAGTCTTTGAATAAATCATAGGGTTTCCTTGTTATAGTAACTCAATGCTTAAGCTCCTTAACAGCCACCAAAGCGGACAGTGGATTGCCAAGCCATACACTTGGCTCATTCGTCTCAACAGTTAGCCTTTGCAGAATGTACTTGGGATTAGTAGGAAATATGAGATTATAATATCAAAATAAACCTTATATGATCTATTCCCTTCTTCCCTGTTAACCCCCAGGAAGTTCTGCGACTTTGTGCAGCCAGATCGCGGATGGTGCTGGTACGATAACTGGTAAGAGCGGCGCGAGCGCCCTACGTAGGAAGCGTGACTGAATGGGCCGAAGCAGCTTCAGAAGACCAATGACAAGTGCTGCACAATCCGCAAGCGTGCAGGTTATATCAGGCTCAGGGTTCAGGGTTTCGGGTTTTAGGTATGGAACCAAAGAAACGGACATATAGGGGTACATCATATGGCGTATCATTGGCAATGGAAAAGAAAATGGAAGCTACTATGAGGTTTAGGGCTTAGGGTTTTTGCAGAGCTCCCACTAAGCTTTGGAACATTGCACATAGAGCGACTGAGTCGGCAACCCTTGCGCTCCATGACGCTGCCTCAGCTCACACAGCTGCGCAACTTATGCATGCGATGGCTTTAGGTTTGCCTGGTATACGAACTGGAACATGTCACTTCAGAAGCTTAGTGCTCGAGAAAGCACTAAATACCGACCCGGTGACCTAACACACACCCTTGGTAATTACTTCTGCCTGAAACGCCTATCACGCACTAGCGGACTTCATGAAATGACCTAGGCAATTCACCCTTACAGTAGCTGTCCTCAAGGGGTTCTTAGTCAGGTGCCATTAGAATTTCTATTATTTATCGTGGTAACTCTTACGGTAAGGGGGAATTCCTAATCAATGCCTCCAAGCTACACATGAAAACCTCGACGCTGTGGTCTGAGGCTGCAGAAGGCAAGCCCAATGCACCTTGCTGTAGAGCTTAGGGCATAAGTCATAAGGGTCTTTACAAGGATAATGGAAAAGAAAGTTGGAACTACTATGAATGATTTACGGTTTACGGGTTAGGGTCGTTCATTCGGACTGTATAAGGAGCGGTTCAGGAATATGCGGACGTAGCAGGGCTTGGGAAACCTTTGTGATTGGTTTAAGATGCTGGAGAATGAGGGTGAGGGGGTTCGAGGTTTCGCGGTAAGGGTTGCGCAGCTTTGGGGATAAAGGCATTTTTGCTTATGCCACATGCCATGCAATCTTCTTCTGTTCAGATTGGCTCCGCTGCTCAAAGAAATCTTAGGGATCCCGATAACTCCGGACATACCACCCCAGATATCATTCTGATTTACCTGATGATGCCCGAAAGGAATCTGGATACTGGCCTAGGGTTTGGGGTGTAGCTGGGGTGTAGCTTCAAGA